GGAGAAAGGACATTGACGTGTTTGGGATAGATCTATTGGAAATGATATCATTTTAATTGGTCCTCAACAATAAAAATGTAAAATAATCCGTAAACACAATACTTCCCTCAATTCGCCTTCCATATATAAAATTGACAAAAATAACAAATAAATTAACGAAACAGAATATTAACTTCTCTCTCCAGTTCGTCCATTGTAATTGCAACTCAACAATCACATTATGACTTCCCATAAAATTTATCCAATTTCAACTTTATAAAGAATGCCAAAAAAACTTAAATGCATGAAACATCTTGTTTATTTGAACTTTCACCTAAATAAAAAATAAGCATTCAGCACAAATTTTTTAAAAAGACGAATGAGAATAAAAGTAAAAGAGCATATCTCACAAGCAAGACTGGTGAAATCAAAAGGAATAAACATTGTTGCATACATGTGCTCAAACAGAGTGTTTTGGGCATACAACTCCCTGAACACATTCTTTTCCAACTTCTAATCTTATTTTTGAACTTTACCATGCGTATTCTACAAAAAGAACCCAGAAATTTAACTTACAGTATATTGGTGACAACCTTTTAAATCTCTGAGAAAATTATCAAGACAAGCCTAAAAAGTTTGGATTGGAAATATTCATAACTACGAAAAAGACTATGGTACCAACAATGACGTATCCAAAAATACCAAAGTTAGAAGTCAAGTTACACATTGTAAAAGAAAAATTATAAGTATTTATGGTCAAACACAATATTTCATGTTTATAATTTGACCTTAAAACGCTGTAATTTTCGATACAATACCTCGATCATAATCTTCCACAATAATTAACAACATCATAATAAAAGGGATTTTCCAAACTTTTGGACATATGATGGCCTTCGTGCCACCATCTAATCCATCTTTGCTTGAATTACAATAAACTCTGGAATGTTAGAATATGGTATGACATAGTCGTACGAGGCAACCTTTTTCTTTTTCTTTTTGTTTTGTGTTGAACGGTGATTGAATCTATAAAATACAAAATTGCATTCTTTTAAGCATGGTAGAGTATATAATTGGTAAAGAAGACGTACATGATCTTGCTCCCACAAATACTGTGTTTTATTGTTATTTCTATTTGTCAATCAATAATAAAGTTTTAAGAATTATATATGAACAAGTTGATGAGAAAAAATATTTTTAACCAGTAGATGGACAAAATAGGTAGATCAACTGTTGAAATTATTCTGAAAGAAGATTCAAATCAATCCTAGGTCACTCATCATCTATACATTGGTGGGGAGCACACTTAAATATAGATCATCTTAGTTGGACTCATCACTTAGAGGATCAATCAAAGGAAATGAGGGATCAAAGCTGGTACCTGACATCTTACTTTGAGGTCTGGGCAACGCAGAACACTGAGGAAATCAAATAGACAATCTACTGTAAGTTCTACTTTTTTTTCCACCATTCTTTAGTCACTTATCCAAATTAGCTGAAATTCAAATAAACCCAATTATTTAAGAACAGATTATATTAACAACGAGTGTATTTGTGTGAGTTTTTGAGAGAGAGAGATCAAAAGTACCTTACGTAGAAGTCAACATCCTATCATTTAAGGCTCCTTGGAAAGCAGTACGGAAAATAACAATCCGGCTCTCCCACTGGATGTAAACGTGTTCATTATTAAAGACGGACAAAACTGTGAAAACATAGCACTTCTTAAAGAAAAATGCATACCCATTACACGAAACATAGAGATTCAAACCCTACAATCGTAAACCATAGAAACAAGGGAAAATATGATACCCAAAAAACCTAGGGTTTTAGCAATTGCAAGAATATCAGAAATATAATAATTTCAAGAACATTGAGAATGAGAAAGCTAATTTTTCTTGACTCGTTAAATTAATAACAACGAATTTAAGAAAAGTAAACCTGAAGAAAATCACACATTCTCGGCGCCTGGTGTCGTTACTGCTAAGCAGTGCGATTGGGCCTCAGAGAAAATGAAAGTTACAATAACTACTGTAACGCCTAGGTGTGTGGAAGATGAAGACAAGGGATGTGAATTTGCAAGAAAGAGAGAGAGAAAAGAGGGCGAGAAAATCGGAGAAAGGAAGAGGTCGTAACGGCGGGCTAAGAGAAGTAGAGTCTCTAGGTCTGTGAATTTGAGTGAGGAAATAGGGAGAGAAAGAGGGAGAAGAGGGAAGAAAGTGGGAATAGAGGGAGACGTTAATTGGGAAGCAACTAAGTGCAGAGGACATGGATGATATAATTGTGACGTCAGATGATAAAATTGGAAAAAAAAATGATTTTCACATATTCTTACTTTTTAAAGTAGTATAGATATTTTTTAGTGTATTAGTTTGTGTGTGTTTTGGAATATTAATATGTGTGTTTATGTTTGTATTTCAGTGTACTATTAATATATGTGTGTGTGTTTTGATGTACTAGTGTGTCTATTAAGAGTTTTAATTATTTTATGGGTTAATCGGTTTAACCCAACCTATTATAAACTAAACTCATTTATTATATGAGTGAAAAATTGATTAGATTTATTTTAGCCTAATTCAATTTAATCCCACTCATAACCAATTCAACCTACTCATTTGCCACCTCTATAGAGAGAGGGGGGGGGGGGGGAGAGAAAGAAAGAATGAATGGTTAAAAATGAGTGGTGTGTTTTGGTTGATTAGTTGTAATTTTTTTAACACTTTTTTTTTTCTAAAAAACTTATTTTGATTTATTTTTAATATAATGGGCCTGATTTTCATAAACCCGGACTACTCAAATATATTTTTGATTGAGTTTAAATTACTTTTTTGGAGCCTAAAATCTTATGAATTTAATTTAATTTTTTTTTAAATTTGGACTAACTATGCACCTAAAAGTTTTAGGGCCTTATTTAAAAAGGGAAAATTGGAAAGAGGTACACCCAATTAGATTTAATTGTAAAAAAGTACATAGAAAAAAATATTGGATAATTAAGTCTTTAATTTTGATACTTATTTGTATCTAAGTACATTATTTGAATTTTACTGATTTTTTTGTGACATTTTTACCCTCCATTAATTCATGTGTATTTAATGCACCACTTTCTTTGAAAAATTGTGCATTAAACATCTCCTAATTTTATGGGAGAACTTTAATATATATATATATATATATTAATACTAGTCATAATTCGTGCTTAAAAATACGATAAAATATAAAATTCAAACGTCCAAAAAATCGATCCCATATATTAAATTTTTTAAAAATATATTAACTACAAATTAATTAAATATTAAATGATTAAATATATGATAGAAATGAATTGTGTGATATTTTTAAGAAAGAAATATATAAACAATTAAATATGTGATAGAAATGAGTGATATGATTTGACGTTTAAATCTGACAAATGGATGATGAATAAGGTAAATGATTGATGATGGTTTTGAGAGGAGAAATATGACGGGGATAAAATTCAAACACACTCCTGTTTTATTATATAGATTGTTTGATTTTCAAAATATGTATTCATGTATATATAAAAATGTATATGTATATAAATTATATTTTAATACATATTAATTCATGCGTTATATATATATATATTAACAAATACACATGAATTAAGGTGCATTAAATACGTATTTATATGTATTAACAAACATACATAAATCAATGTGCATTAAATATAAGGGATTTTAAATTAAACGACTCTAATATTGACATTTATGTCTTTGTAACTTAACTGTGTACCTTTTTCAAAAATATTTTGTTTTATGTATTTTTTGTCAAATAAATTTAATTAAGTGTACCTATTTCTAAAGAATTCATTTAAAAATAGGATTTAAAGTCCAAACTTTATCGATCTTATGGTTGGGCCTGTCCTGTTCGTTTTCCAACCCTCGCTCGATCGCCTCTATCGAAAACCCTTCTACAAACCTGGACACAGTTGCTTGACCGAACGACGACCTATAAAAACCGGCTGGTGGAGTATTTAACCATGGTTAACATATGCCACTATAAGCATAGACAGCTAAGTACTTTAACTTTAATAAATACACGTCACTTGAACCTAATTGACTCATATAATTTACTTGTTTAGTAATTAATTGTCATTAAATTGATAATAACCCTTAATACATAGTCGGGAACGACTGTCAGTTAATGTAACAATAAGAAGATATTATTAGATCGACAAATTAAATTATTAAATTAAATTCAAATAGTGAGGGGAGGTGGGATTGTCTTTCTCTCAAGCTTTCTGCACAAGAAAAGTATCCAGCTACCCCACCTTTTAAACTGATTGAGAATTTTGTGGTGGTCATACGTGCTTGAGGGTTGAGTCTACCCCTGACTAATGTGAAGAGTTGAAAGCATCTAGTGCCTCAGAATATGTAACAAGTGAGGTCCACGGACCACTTCTCAGTTCATGGGGGGGGGGGGGGGGCGGCCCAACACAAAAGTTTGGACTTTATAAAAAATTATAATCAAAATTTTTATTGTAATAATTTGGGTCCATAATCTAATTGATAACATTAAATACCTAAAAATTAAATAAATAAATAAATAAAAAAAAAGTAATCAAAAGTTAACTCATATTTATTCACCCTCTTTGTGTAAATATAAGTAAAAAAATAAAAAAAAATTTAAATTAAACACTCTCTGGTAAAAAAATAAAATAAAAGTTAAAATATTTTTTTCGATAACACTAACGCGTACTTCTTCTGTCTCTCTTACATAATAAATTAAAAAAAAATTAAATTTTATAAAAAATTTAATATTAAAAATAAAAAGACTCGTTTAATATTTGCTCTTTAGACGTCAAATTTCCTTCGGCCACGTTGTTCACGCGGAAAGTTCAAAGCATCTTGTACCTCGAATAAGGAAAACCCAATTTAGGGTGTCATAAGCTTTCCCCAAATAACCTTTTGAATCACGTCTCTCTCTCTCTCACGCACACACACAGTAGTGAACGACTGGTCTATTAAAGTGTTTGACACATTTTGCTATTGAGAAAAAGAGAGATGGCAGATAAGGTTTTGGAGAAAGGCCTCAAAGCCAAGGCCAAATCCGAGATGATAAAGAAGGTGGAAGTGATCAACCCACAGGGAGAGGTTGAAGCCAGACCTTGGCCAGGTTTTAAACCCAAGCCTGGAAGCGTAATTCCGGCGAAGAAAAAGCTGGTGAAGACGATGGTGGTCGATTACATAGGCCAATCTGTTGCGTCCCTATTCAACAAGTACAAGAACAAGCAGAAAATCAATCCTGGTAATGCTGGATCTAGCAATATGTAGTACTGCGTACTAACTTTGATACACTACCCCACACACAAAAACACACACTCATTTATAGCACTTAGTCTATCACTCTAGTGATTGGTAATTGGTGGGTTTTAAACTATATAGGTATGTATACATACATACACGTTGATGTTTCCTATGGGTGATGAATGAAGTTTCCTAAGTTTCAGTGTATAATGTGTTTTAGTTCATACTCTTATTATATACCCATTTTAATCCGCTCTCAGAGGGCAAAACCCATTTCTGGAAAGTAAGGTTCGGAAATGAAACTACATAAAAAAGACTCTAGATGGTGCTAACTAAAATGCGAAGAATAAAGATGTTGTTTAACGCATTCGCAAATATCAGTCCAGTTGACGGAAAAGTTGGCCGGAAATACTCAGACACAGCATGAACTGCCGCTGATCTCAATTCAGACCACACAAGTCCTCGGTTTAATTTGGAGTAAAATGCAGATGTGTCACACTGTTATTGGGACTCGCAAATGATGTCATTAACTATGTGAAATATATATATATATATATATATTTTTTTTTTTGGTAACTATGTGAAATATGACATCATAATATGAGTCTTAAAGTTGCATTGGTGTCTAACAAATCGGCCACGTGAGCCTTTTGTGGATTAAACATATGGGTGAGAAACAAATGCTATTGTTTTTTAATTGATCACAAAATTACGACTTAATGGGACTTTGTCCCCAGAAATTTGAAAAATTTTAGTTTGCCCCTATCTTAATGCTGTTTCATGTTACACCTTCCTTTCCTAAATTCTATTTGAAATTATGCAATCTATTTAAAGTTGCATCCAGAATTTTCCAATTGTTTTTGAGTGTGCCAAGAAAGAAAAATTGAAATCGACCATTACCGCCAATGTCCTAATATTGAAATAAAATAAAATTGAGGATACAATGCAAGAACAATTTAAGTATAAGGGTAAATTAAAATATTTCCAAATTTTTTATTTTTTTTTATATTGTTGACAAAAATTGATTTTTATATTTTCAAATTTCTCAATTTTAGATGTGATCCTCTATAATGATATATGAATTCCAAGCAACCCTTAAGATTTGAATAATAATATTGCTTTTCTCCCTCATAATTCTGGTTAAAGTCCCCCAATCATTATGGTGCTGATTTTTTTTTTTGGCTATTGAAAATGTAGATAAAAGTAAAACAAAAAATATCTATCGAGTCGGGTCAAATTTGCTTGTAGCGCTGCCCTTGCTGCCTGTTACAAAAATTGATTTTGTCGCAAGGTACGATGCCATATGTTGTATGAGATAGTGAAATATTGGCAAATATAGTATAGGGTCCCAAAGTTGCGGAGATACACTATAATGGGTCTTGTACAATGTTGTTGGAAACAGCTTCTTTTTTCCTTGGGATTGGACTAAACTTTCCCCTTTTCATCATCTTCAGCACTTTAGAGTTTTAGGGTCAAAAGCTTCCGACCATGCCATTCCGCATCTTCTTTCTTTCTTTTTTAAGCATTAAATTATGGGAATTGTGCGTGCAAGATCCTGCACAATATAAAAAACGAGAACATATCTCTTCCTTGGTGAACTTCGAGTGAGCCCGTTGAGTGACCAAACACGCTGCTTGGAACAGCCTGTGAGGTCCGGTAGTAACCTGGAACGGCAACGGGAGACCCTAGGAACGGAAGAAGGATCCAGTAAGGCTGAAAGAGGTTCCTGGAACAAAGAAGAACCAGTTAGAAGGGCGCCAGAGTGTTTTTCGGCGTATCCCCTCCGACGATCTAGTCAGTCTTTGAGAGAGAGAGAGGAAGGAGAAAACACTGAGTGTGTATTGTAGTAAAGAGTTTTTTGTTGCATACTCATCTTGCCTTTTGCAAGGAGTATTTATACCTTAAAAGCTCATGATTGCTGTCAGTGTGGTCAGTAGATGATCATTAGATACAGGCAGTGTGTGCACTGATTCTGATGAGGAATGTCTTCTCTTTTTAACTGCTCGGGGTCCCGAGCAATCAATGTTGTGCCATCGGGACGCCGACGGTACAATGTACTCCTCTCGGGGAGGATGCAATAAATGCTCTGTATTAGGAGCATTTATTGCCTTTCATTTTCGAGTCTTACCGCATTAAATGTGGTCTCATCAAAGGAATGGTGTAATTAATAGTTTGCTTTCCCAAGTCGCGTGTCAGAAACGGCATGCGTTTTCTCTGTTTCGATGTGATATCATTTGCCACGCGTCCATCTCTTAATGACTGTGACCCCTGCATTCCAGTACGTTCTGACACTAATTGTGTGAGACGAGGTCATGATGAATAGCCTAGACTAGCCTAGGCTAATGACCTGTACGTCAATAACTTATCCTAGAGTAGAGGAAGCGTCCAGGACGGGGTACCTCTCGGCACCGTGGAAAGGCTCATCTCGGGGACCGAGGGAGGTATGCCGACCGAGGTACATATCAGACCGAGGCCACGTGTCGGTTGTAAAACATACTGAATGCATGATCCTATATGACGAGTACCTCGGGGGCGAGGACCTTTGCGCGCCGACGGTGCTTGATCTTATCAACAGTGTTTTGGTAAATACCGAGGACACGTGTCTTCATCATGGAGTATCTCAGAAAAGTCCCATCAACTGCCCCCCAGCTTTCGATCTTCTGACACCAAGGACACGCGTCGTAAGGAGACGAAGGGTTTTCCAATAATCACCAGTACTTCATCATTGCCTCGAGCCACTTTCCCCGGCTTGGGATGTCGTGCGCATTAAATGCGCCATTTCGTTTTTCGCGCCCAATGATGAAAATTGCCTCTATATAAAGGGGGCTCCTCTTCCGTTTTCCTTGTTTTGCCATTCCGAACTTCCTCGAGAGCCTCTTCTTGAATCTTTGCCGGAATTTTGTTTCTTCTTCCATCGTCGACTGCCCATTCTTCCTCAAAGAAAAATGAAAACAGAGAAAAATGAGGGAGGTTCGGCGTGTCCAGTAAGGCTGAGGGAGGTTCCTGGAACAGAGAAAAATGAGTTAGGAGGGCGCCGGAGTGTTTTTCGGCGTATCCCCTCCGACGATCAAGTCAGTTCTTTGAGAGAGGGGAAGGAGAAAACACTGTGTATTTCTTTGAGAAAAAATTTTTTTGTTGCAACCCTTCTTGCCTTTTATGTGGAGTACTTATACCTCAAAAACTCATGATTGCAGTCAGTGTGGTAAGTAGGTGATCATTAGAAACGTGCAACGTGCGCACTGATTCCTATGAAGAATGTCTTCTCTCTTAACTGCTCGAGACCTCGAGCAACCAATGCTTTGTCATCGGCCTGCCGAATGTTTAATGAGCTTTTCTCAGCAAGGATGTAATAAATGCTCAGTCATAAGAACATTTATTACCTTTCACTTCCTAGCCTTCCTACATTAAATGATGTCTCATCAAGGGAATGACGCACTAAATACTTGCTTTCCCAAGTCGTGTGTTAGCAAGGGCATCTCGGTATTTTTGTCTCTGATCTGACACAATATGCCACGCGCCCATTCCCCATTGGTTGTGTCTTCTGCCTTCTCGTGCCTTCTGACACCAACTGTGTAAGACGAAATCATGATGGCTAACCTAGCCTATCCTAGGCTAGTGACCTGTATATCAATAGCCTCTGCAGGAGCAGAAAACGCTAACCTGGAAGGGTACATCTCGGTACCGAAGGAATGGTACATGTAGGGACCGATGTACCCCATATCCGACCGAGAGATACGTGTCAGTACGTAACGTACTGGGTGTCATTGATCCCTATGAACAGTACCTCGGGGGAAGAGGGACTTGTGAATCGACGAATATGTGTCGTGATTACAGTAACAAAAATATACTGATACCGATGACACGTGTCTTCATCTTAGAGTATTTGAAAATGTCTCATCAGATTGTATTTTGATAATCCGATAACTATACATATTCATTACAATTGAAGTACCTTCATCCTTTTGCATTTTTTTTAACTATTACTTAATGGGGTCTCCTTGTTATTTTGACAACTCTTATGCAAGGTCATGTTTATTAACCAAAAATAAAATAAAAAATATCCATGGCCAGATGAAGGTTAAAATGCTATTCCTTAAACTAAAAATGTGTGAGAAGATAGTTTCTTATTAGAGTTTGACAGGGAACGTCAAAAATTGACCCATGCAAACTACAGGTTTTGTAGTTTCTATTTTTACACTACGTTCTTTCTCCAAAATTTCCAGACAATTATCACTAAGTTCCACTTTAAATTAATTTTTTTTTTGGGGGAGGGGCCACTTTAAATTAACTAGCTTTCAATCAAATAAGAAATTTATGTCAGCAAGATGTCATTAACATGTCATTTTACAAAGGTTTTTTTTTTTGGGTGTTTTATAGGTGGATGTTTTATGCATAAACCTACAAACGCCCACACACAAAACTATCAAATATTACATATCAATTAACACGACATATTTATAGTTCTCGAATAATTAGTGAAATTTTAGTGAGGCCTACTAATCCCTCCATTTAAGTTGATTTAATATAGATTTTAGTAAATATAATACTAGGGACAAACCCGTGTGATGCACGAGATATATGTAGACCTCATCTCCAACCCTTCTTCCTTTTTTCACACCCGTAGTTGGGATATTAGATAAATAAATATAGTATCTATGGGGGTGGTTAAAATGTTTTTCTTAAAAAATTTAAATGAATGGAAGTGAATTAGCTTAGTGGAGGAGTGACTCTATGAGAAATGTGATAGAATGTGGCTGAATCTTTCTAAATACAATCAATGTGTATTTCTGAGTTTACACAAAAAAAACCCACACAATAACACAGCTTTCTTGCAGAAATGCACTACACCAACACACACACACACAGACACACACACAAAAGAAGAAGAAATGTGAGTCTGAAGCCTATAAATACCAGCATTGCTTTCTCCTCACAACCCCAACAAGCATTTGTTAGAAAGAAAGGCGAATAAAGAGAGATTATTTGGGGGATGGCAGATAC